TTGGGGAAATGGATATCCACATGGAGAAGAATAAAATAGACCATCATCTCATACCACATAGAAAAATCAACTCAAAATGGATTAAGGTCTTAAATGTAAGACTCAAAACTATAAAACTACTAAAAGAAAAAGTGAAGGGAAAGCTCCATGATGTTGATCTGGGCAGTAATTTTTTTTCTTTTGGTACCGGGGATCGAACTTGGGACCTTGCATTTGCGAGGCAGGCAGTGGAACCACTGAGCTAAATCCCCAGCAATAATTGGGTTTTTTTGAGACAAGGTCTCACTATGTAGTTCAGGCTGGCCTAGAACTCACTGTGTAGCCCAGGCTGGCCTCAAACTTGTGGCGATCTTCCTGCCTCAGCCTCCTGAATGCTGGGATTACAGGCATGTGGTACTGCACCCAGAATTATAATTGGTTTTTTAAATTACAGTACCTTTTAAAATAGGTATAGGGCCCGGGATTTAGCTCAGTGGTTCCGCCTACTGCCTTGCAAGCACAAGGTCCCAAGTTCAATCCCGGTACCAAAAAAAAGAGAAAAAAAATAGCTATAGAATAAAGACTTGGGAGAAAGTTGTTGGATTCTTAAGAGGTGAGGATCTTTTGGGAATGGACTCTAAATACTAGTATTTTATGTTTATACAACACTTTGCCTAGCAGATTAAATATTTAGTTGGGTTTGGGAGCCTGGGGTCTATCTTACCATGCCTGAATGATCTTTCCTCTCTACTATGCAATAGTGAAGGGTAAAAGTTAAACCTTAGGAGCCAAAATGATAATTAATGTAAAACAAAGAAATAGGGCCCAATTAATAAAAATATTGTTTATAATTATTTACTCAATACTTATAGCCCTGCTATATGCCAAGTAATGTGCTGGATGCTGGGGTGGTTAGCAAAGAAACAAATGACATAATTAGTATTTTGCAGTCTGGTTAGGAAAGCAAAGGATAGGCATATGGGTAAATGAGTCCCCTAGCTTCCTGGCTTATGTCTCATGACATTCCTCTCTCTAACGAGGACTTATTTGATGTCTGTCTTCCAATTCAGGTTATAATTTCCATGAGGATGGGATACATGTGTTTCTCATTTTTCTTGTAATCCCTGGAGGCTGACTCTGATATAAGCAGGCAATAAACATTAATAGAATGAATGGAGAACAGTGAGAATTTAGAGAGAACGATGTAGACTGAAGTGATTGGAGAGGTCTGTAAGAGAGATAAAACTTGGACCATGTCTGAAAAATGGCAGATAAGCTCAGGAAAGAGAGATTTTAGGGACAGGTAGGAAAAGGATTTGAAGTAATTGCTTTCTAGACCCAGATCGGAGAATGAAGAGTATCATGGTTTGTGTCATGATCTCCCCCCAAAGCCTCATGGAACTATAGGTGGGGGATTTCAGCCAGATCTGGAGTGTGTGGTGCTGGGATCAAGGGTATGTGATTACTAAATCAGCCCACTGATTGTTTTGGGATAGTTCTGGGTAGGATTAAGGGTGTCTCAACCTGGGTTGCAATCTGCTCTAAGGGTTGGTAGGCTGAATAAGATATAAGGGATAGAAAGAGTGTCTCTCTTCCCTTGTTGCTTACTGCCTTCTGCCTGCCATGAACTGTTTCTCCTCTGCGATGCCCCTCTGTCATGTGCCACCCTCCCTTGGAGTCAGCCAATTATAGACTAAAACCTCTACAAACTGTGACACAAAAATAAATCTTTCCTCCTTTAACTCAGAGTGTTGGGTATTGTGTCTCAGCAACGAGAAAAGTAACACAAAGAGTCCAAGAGACTGAGTTTTGAATTTTGGGTAATGGGGTGGGAAAACATGGCTATAAGAGATTAATCAAATGAGAGGGAAAGGAGAACTTAATTGAAAAATGTTAGGAGAAAATACATTGTGGATTTTCTTAAAAAGGAAAACATGAAAAATAGTCAACTTTGTAAGTAATTTCCTTTGGAGAACTTATTGAATGAATCATTTGAAGAGTGTAATCAAATTTTAGATGCATATGTAGTCAATGCTTCTTAAAGTTCCAAGGACACTTGAAAGTGTCAGATGTTCATTATTCTCTTTTAAACTGTCAATAATAAAGAATAAATCAACTGTATAATTAATAATGTTATGGTGAGTGAGTGTATTGACTTGTTTTATCCCCTCAGTAATCCTATTGTTATTCTCATTTTGCATTTGAGGAAACTGAGACACTAAAAGATATGAATAACTTGCTTGTCACTGTATAGCTAGTAAAGAGCAGACTTAGAATTTGATTTTGGTAAGTTCAGTTTCAGAAGCTGCAAGTCTAACCAATGAGTTATGCCTCTCTATTTATATTGTGCCTCTGTGACCAATGGATAGTAGCAAAAACTATAACCACAAATTTTAATTTAAAATATATTTAGGCTGGGGATTTAGCTCAGTGGTTCCGGCGCCTGCCTTGCAAGTGCAAGGTCCCAAGTTTGATTCCTGGTACCAAAAAACAAAACAAAAATATATTTAAATCATGCATGTGAATTTGAAAAGGCAAGAAGTATGGCCAGGATAGGTAAGGAGCAGATAAATATATTTTTATTATCTTTTTTGTTTACTTTTTATTAGTACATAATGTTTGTGGTACATAATGATTAGATTTATTGTGAGGAGTTGGTACATGCACCTAACACCTTTTAATTCTTCTTTCGTTCCCTATCCGTTCCATCCCTCCTTGCTCCTTTCATCTCTTGGTCCCCTTCTCATTTTCAAAAGCTCTATTATCATTTCAAAAAATCCTCTTTTTTTTTCATCCCCTTTCCCTGTACTTCCTTTCTCTCCCTCCATCTCTTATTCCCTTTCTCATTTGAAAAAGATCTCCCTACTTCCTTTTAGGAATAGATAAATTTATTAAAATGACATGATGTTTTATTCTGTGTGAAGTAACATGTGTTCACTGTTGCATATTGTTTGAAACACTGTCTAAAAGAAATACGATGCAAACCACACATGTAATTATTTTTTTCAATAGCCACATTACAAAGTGAAAAGAAATAGGTGAAAAAATGTTTTTCAGTGCTGCACATGGAACTCAGGGCCTTATATATGCTAGGGAGGTGTTCTACCACTCAGCTACATCCCCATCCCCTAAAGTAATTTTGATAGTATATTTTGTTTAACCAAACACATCCCAAATGTTATTGTTTTAACATATAATTGATATACAAACTATTTTTACATTTAAAAATTTTATTTTTTGCATAGATATAACTGTATGAGTTTGCTGTGTAAATATTTTGAAGTGTATACATTGTGGAATCTGTAATATATGCTGTTTCACATAGTTATCATTTTTTTGATGAGAAAACTTTACAATCCATTTTCTTACTATTTTAAAATATGTATTATTTGTTTGTTTGTTTTTTGGTACTGGGGATTGAACTTGGGACCTTGCGCTTGCAAGGCAGATGGCGGCACCACTGAACTAAATCCCTGGCCCTTAAAATACATATTATTAACTACAGTCACCATGTTGTACAATGGACCTCTTGAACTTTTTTTTCTACCTACCTGAAATTTTATATCATTGGACCAACGTCTCCTCCTCACCCCCCACCTTAATCATCCCAGACCCCATTAATCATCATTCTACTCTATTTTTATGAGATCAACTTCTAAAGATTCTACAGGTGAGTGAGATCATGTGGTGTTTGTCTTTCTGTGCCTGGCTTATTTCACTTACATAGTGTCTTCCAGGTTCATCCATGTTGTCCCTAATGTCAGGATCTCCTTTTTAATGTCTGAATAGTATACAATTGTGTATATGTACCATATTTTCTTTATCCATTCATCCATTGTTGGACACTTAAATGGATTACACATCACAGCTATTGTAAGTAATGCTGCAACAAGCATGAGAGCATGATATTTCTTTGATATACTTTTTTTTGTGTGTGTACTGGGGATTGAACTCGGGACCTTGTGGTTGTGAGGCAGGCGGCGGAACCACTGAGCTAAATCCCTAGCTGATATACTTATTTCATTTCCTTTGCATACAAGGGTCGATAAAAAACATGTGTTTAAATAAAAATTTATTGCAGTAAAAGACACATTACCATTAATCCCCCTCAAAATACCCTCCCTTGCTTTGAACACACTTATTCCATCATGCTTGCCACTTTCTTAAACAGTGTTGGAAGTCCTCTCTCATGAGTATCTTTCTGAAGTGATAAAAATACAGTAAATACTGCTGTCAAGTGCCGTACAATGGAAAGGCAGACTCAGAAATTCATCATTGTGTGTCTTCACCTTATTCATCACATATGGCACTGTATGACTTTTGATTCTTCCCTGAAGTCAAAATGACCATGAAAAGTAAATATTTTGAATCCATTCAGAACATAAAGCCACTATAGCAGTGCAATTAAAGATGATCATGAAACTGCTTCAGAGAACTGCTTCAGAAAGTTGTAAGAATGATGGGATAAGTGTGTTCAAAGCAAGGAAGAATATTTTGAGGATTAATGACAATGGGTCTTCTACTGTCATAAATTAAAAAATAAACATTCACTATATTTTTTTATCATAGCTCTTATATACTCTTCCCTTTGTATATATACCTTTGTATGGTATTTCTATTTTTAATTATTTTTGTGATCACCATTCATGTTTTCTAATGGCTCTACTTACATTTCCAACAACATTGTTCAAGGTTCCCCTTTTTGCTACAGCCTTGCCAACACTTGTTATCTTTTTTTTTTTTGGTACCGGGGATCAAACTCTGGACCTTGAATTTGTGAGGCAGGTGGCAGAACCATTGAGCTAAATCCCGGGCTCTGGTTTTTTTTTTTTTTTGATAGCCATTTTAACAGATATGAGGTGATACCTCATTGTAGTTTTTTTTTTTTAGCAAAACATTTATTGGTATATTTTAGATATAATGATAACATTCATCATAGGGATTATTGTAGTTTTGATTTGCATGTACCTGATGATCAGTGATGTGGAGCATTTTTCATATATCTCTTGGCTATTTGTATGTCTTCCTCTGAGAAATGTTTATTCAGTTAATCTTAATTCCCAAGTAGACTGGGCGAAGAGACTGCTGGGAAGGTGATTGGATCATGGGGATGCTATATTCACCACTGATGTTCACAGGTGAGTGTGTTTTTGGGAGGTGGGGGCCAGTTTGCGGAAGTGGGTCACTCAGGTTGGGGCTTTGGAAGGTACGTGTCTCACTGGTGCTCTTGCCCTGTGCTGTGCTTCCTGGACACCATAAAGTGAACAGCTCTGTCCTACCATGTCCTTCTGCCATGATATCCTTGCCTTTGGGCCAGCCAAACTTGGACTGAAACATCTAATACTTTGAGCCAAATAAATGCCCCCTTCTTTAAGTTGTGTATGTCAGGCATTTTATTCCAGGAGTGGGAGGGTGAACCAATACAAAGTCCTTTACCCATTTTAAAATCAGATTACTTGCTTTCTTGCTATTGAATTGAGTTCTTTATATATTTTGGATGTTAACCCTTTATTAGATATATAGTTTGAAAATATTTTCTTTCATTCTGTAGGTTATGTCTTTACTCTGTTGGTTGTTCCCATTGCTTTGCAGAAGCCTTTTAGATTGATGTAATTCATCTTCTCTATGTTTGCTTTTGTTTCCTGTACTTTTGTAGCCATATCCATAAAATCATTGCCTGGATCAATGCCATGGATCTTTCTCCCTACATTTTTTTAGTAGTTTTATATTGTGAGTCTTACCTTTAAGTCTTTAATCCATTTTGAGTTGATTTTTATATGTGGTATGACATAAGGGTCTATTTTTTTTCTTCTTCACGTGACTATCCAGTTTCCCCAACATCATTAATTAAAGAGACAGTCCTTTCCCCATTGTGTGTTCTTGGCTATAAATCTGTGAACTTATTTCAGGGCTCTCTATTCTGTTTCATTGGTGTAGGTGTCCATATTTTGTGTCAGTAGCATACTGTTTAGATTATTCTAGATTTATAGTATACATTTTTAAAAATTAATTTTATCAGTATACTTTTGATGCACATAATGACTGCATTTATCATAGGGAATTTGTGCCTTACATAATATATCTTGATTCTTCTTTTTTTTTCCCATTCTCCTCCCTTCCCTTCAGTCGTTCTTCACCTCCCCATTTACAAAAGCTTTGTTTCCATTTTCTTTCTTCTATTTTCTTTTTTCCATTTTCCTTCCTTCCCATCCCCTTCCTCCCCTCGTTCCTTTTCCCATTTGAACATTTTCTTCCTACTTCCCAATATCTATCATGCATTTTGGTTTTGAAGTTAAGTAGTGTTATGCCTGCACCTTTGCTCTTCTTTCTTAAGGTTTTTTAGGCTTCTTGGAGCCTTTTGTGGTTCCATAAGGATTTTAGGATTGTTTTCCTATTTCTATGAAGAATGTCATTGATATTTTGATAGGAACTGTGTTGAATCTGTAGATTACTCTTTGTAGTATAGACATTTTAACAATATTGATTCTTTCAGTCCATGAATGTGAAATATCTATCTACTTATTTGTCTTTCTCAACTTCTTCATCAATGTTTTCTAGATTTTAGTATACAGGTGTTTCATCTTTTGATTAGATTTATTCCTAAATAGTTTTTTGTAGCTATTGTTTTTTTTTTTTTTTTTTTGTACCGGGGATTGAACTCGGGACCTTGCAGTTGTGAGGCAAGCGCCGGAACCACTGAGCTAAATCCCTGGCCCTTTTGTAGCTATTGTAAGTGAAACTGTTTCCTTTATTTTTTCATAAAATTACTGTTAGTGTACAGAAGTAATATTGATTATTTTCAACATCCTGTAACTTTACTGAATTTATTAGTTCCAGCAGTTTTTTTCATGAAAACTTTAGGGATTTCACTGTGTATGATTATGTCATCTGCAAAAAGGGACAATTTTACTTCTTCCTTTCTAATTTCAGTGCTTTTTATTTCTTTCTCTTGTCTAATTGCTCTGGCTAGGAACTCCCGTACTGCATTGAACAGAAATGGTAAGAGTGGGCTTCCTTTCCTTGTTTCAGACCTTAGAGGAAAAGCTTTTGATTTTGCCCCAGTGAGTGTGTTATTAGCAGTAGGCTTGTCATATATAGACTATTTCAATATACAAATTATTAATGAGGTATTTTACATTCTTTTACACTAGGTCTTCAAAATCTGTTGTACAAGGAGTAATCAAAAGCTGTAGTGGTCCGCAGCCGGATCCCACCGCCGCCGCCGCACTAGTCTGAGCCTCAGCCGCGGAGCCCGTGGAGCCCACCGCCCCCAGGTCGGCCCTCGTTGGCGACGGCTCTGCCGGCGCCCCCGCGGAGATCATAAATCAGGCAGATAAAAATCCCCATCCTACCTTAGTGATGAACCACCAGAAGGTGCCATGAAGGACCATCCGCAGCAGCAGCCAGGCATGTTGTCCCGAGTGACTGGGGCTATCTCCAGTGTCACTAAGGGAGCTGTTGGCGACACCATTGGTGGTGTGGCTTGGATTGGTGGAAAGAGTTTGGAGGTGACCAAAACAGCTGTTACAACTGTGCCTTCCATGGGAATAGGGCTGGTGAGAGGGGGCGTGTCCGCTGTGGCTGGAGGTGTCACAGCGGTGGGGTCTGCCGTTGTCAACAAAGTGCCCTTAACAGGAAAGAAGAAAGACAAGTCTGACTAACATACGGAGATACACTTGTTCTCCACCGCATTATGATGCCAGTGGCATTGAATTGCTACGTCATGGACTACAACCAAGTCACCTGTTTTGGACGCTCATCTTCTAAACTGCTGTGTTGAAAGTATTGATGCCTGGCTTTCAGCTAAAGAGACCAATGCTAGCACAGTGTATGAAGGTTTCTCATAGTTCAGTTCGAGCTTTTTATCTGGTAAAATGTTATACTCTCTCAGTTGTAACTGAAGATATGGTATGTCTGAATATTTCTCATAAGTCTTTGAGTTTGACTAAAATGTGAAAGTTGAATTTTGTAGATGATCTTTACAGTTCCATATGTACAGTGTGCCAGGTAACTGGGCCCCTTGCCAAGGGAACCTTGGACTCCATAAACTGTACCTTTGACGTGCCTAATAGTTTCAGATGTCTTAGTTTTTTAAAACGATAGTTGTTCAAGCCAAGAGGCATTCTTTTCCTGTTTAAGCTGGCAAAATAGCAGGAATTGGAGAAGTGTAAAAGTTAAATGGTTTGATACAAGTTATCTTGGATCTTTTGTTAGATATGCATCCTGCTCATTTAATCATTGATGCCTTACGAGAGAAAACATCTTTTCTAATACCTTCATATGTGCAGTTCTTAGAATTATCTTTGGATTCTCTTGAAGGTTGTGAAATAGGCTTTCCCTCTTAAGAATCTCAGGAGTGGGGTCTGTGGCTGAGACAGCGCCTATGAACAGTTAGTCAGATCGTGCACTCGGACCTGCCTGCATGCTCACCATTAATACACCTCACAGTGCCTAAGGAATGTCTGTCTCCTAGCTGTGTTAGAAGGTTTCCTATTGAGGAGGAACAGATGTTAAAGTTTCTAAGAAGTACTTAGTGCACGCAGGATATAAAGAGTCCTTCACACCTATTCTTTTGGTAAAATGTCTTAAAGTAGCAGTACGCCCTTTAAAAAATAAAAGGGACCACAAACATTTGAGGACTGACTTTCGAATGAAATGGACTCCATAGATCAGTTTTGAATGAAAATAGGTGTGCTTTTAATGATTTCTGTAGGCTTCTAAAATACGTTGTCTTCTAGAGAGTCTTGTGAAGCAGCTGTACACTGTGCTGTTTTCCAGCCACTTTCCAGCAGGGAACTGGAGTTTTGATGACGGATGGGAAGCATGTGGTGTCTCAGCACGCTGCCATCATGGCTTGTCCATTTCCAGGATGATAACTTGGCCGGAATAGTTTCTGTGCTCAGCTTCACGAGCATGCTAACTAGTGGCATATGTATTTGGCATTCCTCTTTCACCTGAGGGTCATAACCCAGGCTGAAGAGTCTCAGGTCTGGAGTTGTGCACATTCTCTCCCCTCTAAGGAGGAGGCAGGCGGCCTCAGCCTGCTGTAGTTAAGTCAGGACCGTGTCTGCGGGAATTCGGACAGAACACTCCAACACCTGAGGGGGAAATGCTCGTTTGTAAGCCATTAGAGTACTGCATTAGTAATATGGATTAACAGATGGATAAGATGATAACCTTTAAAAGCTTTCATAAAGACCAACAGGGATTTTGAGCAAATCTACAAAAGTTCTGGAACTCTTCTGCTTATACAAACTAAAAAATTCATTAAGGAGTTCAATCAAATGGGTCATTTAGTTCATGCAATATATTGTTGGTTTATTCTGGTCAAATGTTTTAATTATCAAACGGGATCTTTTTTAAAAACTCCAAAAGTAATAGTTGAATGCTAAATTATCTAAATAATGGTATTGGAGAACTTGATTCCTATTTTGAAGAAATTACTGCTTCCTTGCTAGTTTGTATTTCTAACTTATCTTCTATAGTCATAGGCTCTGCTGTGCTTTGTACCCGAATTTCTTCTAAGTATAGACTTTGGTTTACTGTATGCTTGCCTATTTATATTTCCAACTTTGCTTGTTCTTAAAATTGCTAGAGGAAAAATGGTTATAATTTCTCCTACAGACAAGCCACCTGGTACATTTTATCTCATCAAGATTGTCTGCAGCTTGAAGCTACAACTTAGTTGAGAGGGGCAGTCGGTGCAGAGGTTCTCACCATGTGGGTGTGGCCTCAGGTGCACATCTGGCTTCCTCTCCTATGCCTTCCTTCCCAGGTATGCGTGGGCCAGCAGCTGGGCTGTGAGACAGGACCCCCTCACTTCCAGAGACTGAGCCTGGAGTCGCCTGGAGGCATCTGTTGTTCGCTTACCTTCTGAGTGGGTGTTTGTGACCCAGGACCCATCTAATAATGTTGACATTACAAATCCTGTACTAGTGAAATGTCAGATGAAATGACTGAATACTTTCTCTGTATTAAAGGGATGGGCAAAGAACACATGAATTGTTAATAAAGCACTATGGTCTGTAAAAAAAAATAAGCTGTTGTAAATGTTTAAATTAAAAAAACTCATTAAAAGACACTTTGCCAAGAATAAGGAGATAAGTATGTTTTAAGCAAGAGGGAATATTATGAGTATTATGAGGGAGGTTAATGGCAATGTGTCTTTTAATGTAATAAATTTAAAAATTTAAGTATCACATTTTTTAATCACACCTCATTAATCAACTGTTTACATCAATTTCTGTCAAAAACATTATGATGTGTCCTCATCTACCTTACTCAATGAATCTGGTGCCGTGCAAATTCTGGCTCTTCCCCAAAGTCAAAATTTCCATGAAAGGTAAATATTTTCAATTGAGCCAGGCATCCAGGCAGCCACAACAGTACAGTAAAATTAAGACTCATAAAAGAGGACTTCCAGACTTATTTTGGACAGTGGCAAGAAGAATAGTATAAGTGTGTTTGAAGGTGGAGGGGGTATTTTGAGGGGGATTAATGGCAATGTGTCTTTTACTCTAATAAGTTTTAAAAATTCAACATTAACCATATTTGATCATACCTCATATATTTTATACTTAAAGTACGTCTCAATTTAGACTGCCCATATTATGCTGAATAGCCATATGTAGCTGGTAGCTGTCATGTTAGACAGTGTGAGCTCGACAGACTAAATGTCTTAGGAGTGACTATCTTATTTTTTGAGTTTCCATGCATTTTCTGAATTTCTTTGCCTTTTTTGCATGTATGTCTTACACTGTCATTTAGTTTGTCTAAAAATTTAATGGACCTATTTCAATGCTTTATGACACCTGTTGTGTTAATAGCAGAGCTCAGGAATCCTGGGCTTCCTGCTGACTTTGAAAATGTATAGATTTTGATTTATCTATGTGGTGAATATCATTGTATTTTTTGATGGATAACTTTTTTGAGGTGTATGCAGGAGATCTGTTGAGTATTCTTTGTTTCAGAGCCCCTGTTTTATTACGTGCAAAGTGATCTCATTTACAGTAATGAACTGAATTCTCTGGTGTCTTAGTTACTTTCTTCAGCCCTGAGAAACAATACCTGACACCCATAAATTAAAGGAGGAGAGGGTTTATTTCTGCTCACAGTTTGTAGAGGTTTCAGCCCATGGTTAGCTGGCTCCAATGCAAGGCAACGTGGCAGAGGGGCAGGGCAGAGGAGGCTTGCTTTTGGCATATGGCAGTCAGGACAGAGAGAGAGAGCTCAAAGGAGGAGGGAGGAAGACAGACTCTTCCAGGCCACGCCTCCAGTGACCTACCCCCTCCAACCAGGCTTTACCTCTGAACAACACACTTAGCTATAAACCCATCAGTGAACTAATCCACTGATGAGAATCATGCCCCCATGATCCAGTCACTGCCCAGAAGCCCCACCTGTGTGTGCATGAGGCTTTGGGGGGACATGTAGATGTAAATCATAACAATTTGTCTCTTTTCTTCATACAACATCTTGAGATCTAATTCTACCCTCAGGAATTTCAGAAATATCCATGTGTTTTCTGATAGGCTCTCAGGGCGTAGGTAATTAACCTCTTTCACAAAGCCCAAGGGATTCCTATCTGTGAAGCAATTATTTTTTCCAAAGCTATTACACTTCTGTGGTGATTATTTGCCGCAGTGAGATTGAAGTACACCTAGTGGCTGAAAACTGAAATGAGCGCAGTAGCATGAAATAGTGCTAGAAGCAGATCACTGAAGTAAAGTCTGGAAATCCATGAACGTTGTATTTATGATGAATAATTCTGTTAGCACTAATGAAACATAAAATGCAGATTTCTAAATATGTGTACTTAAATATATATTATATAAATATATCTATAAATATATACATAAAGCATACAGTAAGGAAAATATACATAAAGAAGACCTAATAATTATATTTCTTCACTAAAGCTTTAGGAATTTTTTGGTAATTGAAACACTTTCAAGTGATCAAACAATTTTGAGTAGCTTACTGAAGTTATGCAAATATTGAATGTTATTTGTAGAGTTAAGACTATTCTGACTAATAAATAGTTTTGTTGCAGTGAGTGGCATTGACTTGAGAAGAAACTATAGCAACATCTTGGTCAGTTAGATAAGATGCAACTTTGCTTCACCTGTTAACTGCTGTAATAATGAAATATAGTTGTATCCCAAGGGAGTTAAAATTGTATGGTTCTTATACCAAGTTACAATAGTTTTTGGGATATCCTAACCCTCTACTTTGTTTACACAGAATTTTGGGGTTAATCTTGCTACCCACTGGATGTCACTGTTGCTGCACTGAAAATGTCAAATATTCAAGCATTTTTTCAGTCTCCCAAAAGGCACATAAGAAAACTTCAGTTAGGAGTATCAGTGACAATGCTGTGAGGTAGAATAGAGAAGACCAGTAGTGAGGTTTTAGGGTTGGTTGTTAGTCTATATTGGTCTTGATTTTCACCACAATGACAGTCAATAAAACACTTTCATGTTGAGACTAAAGCTTCTTGTGGAGTGACCCTGAGCTATCTTTGATATCACAGTGGTGTTTTCATCATTCTGAAGGAGGACAGATGTTTTTACATCTGTTCCTTCTCATCTCTATGAGGAGGGTTGAAAGAAGTCTTGCTTGATTGAGTCCCTTTAGATAAGAAATATGGAAATTATATTTTTTAACCTTGGTGTGACTGGACTGCTAAATAAAAAGTAAAATAAATATCTTTCTTTTGATGGGTTGTTTGTAAAAGTTTTCCACTCTGGTGGTATAGAATTCATCTATATTTGAGCTGTCAAATTTTCTCAAGAATTAAGAATACAGTTTTTGTTAGTTTCATTTTTCTTATTTGTTTACATCTGGTCAGTTGATTTGCTGACATTTATTTCTGTGTAATAGACATGCTGAAGCATTGGATTCACAAAAGAGTTATGGTTCTTGAAGTTTATTTACAGTTTCAAAAGAATTCAAAAAGTTGGATGGAGTTTACATAGGAAATGATTTGGATATAAAGTTTTAGAATTGGAAATTAGTATATTTATCTTTATATCAGATGAGGATCTTGCCTCTCTATGGTTGAATTTATTTAGCCTTCCAATACATGCTATATTTAAGTGATTCAGGGAGAATATTATCCTTTCTGCTAAATTCTTTGAGAGTATGTTGATTTTTTTCTTATTCCTTTTAGCATTTTCACTGTTCAGCATGGTATCAGTTGTACAGTTAAGTATTCAGTTGTGTTGGTAAGATTGGATTTGACAGCTTGCTAAGTGAAGGGCTAAGATGGACTGGATGTCTTTTGTTGCTTTGTTGCTTCTAGTTTAGATGAGGAGAATGCATACTGAGACAAACAGTGGAAGAATCCTTTTATGGCATTACCACTCACAAGAGGAGTTTAATATTTCTTTCTTTAGTTTGTGACACTTACCTGAATGTTGGGTCACAGGGTATTGTAATTTAAGGAGAAACAGTGTATCAAAAGGCAACATTAGATGAAAAAAAATCACATTTTTTCTATGTGAAATGTTTAAAAACGTTGTCTCTGTTTATACAGGCTTTTAAATTTATTATTTTGCATGAGTATTTGAAATTCAAAGAGAGGAGATGACCCACTAAAGATATTGCATATCAAAAGGAGATCTCCAGACATCCATCTTGGTGTCACTTGGGGCAAAAATCTCCGACCTCCTGAACCAGCGTCTACATTGCCACAAGATTCCTAGGTGGTTTATATGCTTATCAAAGCCCAAGAAGCACTAATTTAGGATAATGTTACATTAGCAATAGGCCAAGGAAGTGTGGTGGCCTTTACCCAGAGGAGAACAAAGTTTTGTTGTCAAAATAGTAAATCTTTTTTAAAAATAGTAAATCTTTACAGTGTTATTTACTGGATAATGATTAATGAAGGGAAATAGTAGAACTGTTGTGAGTGAAATTTTTGCAAAGCAATTTGAAAAAGACTTGCTAGCACATCAAGGGAGCCATACTGAATTAGCCTATACATGAAAAAAGTGAACAAGTCTAAACTGACCCTAGGGAGGCTGCTGCATTGACTCTCCCAAATCAAATGAGTCTTGATGATTACCCCTCCCTCCAACTTAATCCTGGGGCAGCAAGAGCTAGAGTGTTGCTTCACTGCCAGACACTTCTTTGGGAAAAGAGATTGCTCACTTTGTATAATAATATTTTCCACCTTGCCTTGCCTCCTCCCACAGATTACTTCCATAATGAGAGGACCACAGACCTGTGGATTCGGCAGAACATTCACTTAACAAAATGTCTGTGAATAGTGATGCACAGATGGGCTGGGATGAGCTTAATTCATCATTGCACACACACACTACAGCTTTGTTTATTATTAATGACACGGCAGACATTTTTCTTAGCTCTGGAACTGAATAAAGTAATAACCCCACCATAAGGGAGACAGGAATTAGAAGATAATAAATATTTATCACCAAATCTCTTGCTTTCCTAGCAACCACAAATGGAGGAGGAAATGAGCATCTAATTTTTTTGAGAGCCAGTGCCAGGAAAACAAATGCTTTAAAAAATTTTCATTAATCAAGCAGATTGATTGCTGTGGGTTCTAGAAATCTCAATATGGTTTTCTTAATAGAGGGAGATGCAATGATTGAGCACAGTTGAGACACTCTTTGAGACTTGCAATCTTGGCCTGATTCCACTTGCAAAAATGACTGTCATCTATCAGGAGTATTAAATAATACAATCTGGTAGCAAAACAGTATTATTTTGTTTGTTTTCCTAGAGTAAATGGATGATAGAGCAACAAAGTCATGATACTGCATTGCCTCACACAGCAAACTGGATCATTTCAGGGAATTTCCTAATACTTTGAAGTTGTGTTTAAAAAATTATGAGTAAATAGAGGTTTATTACAGACATAATTTTTTTCTGGTATGAGATAGTGCCCTTGAAAAAGCAGTCAAAGGCCATTGAACTCTCTGGAGAATGTCTCTAGCTTTTCCAGGGCCAGGAGCAAATTTCCTCAGTTTGTGTATTTCTTTTTCACTTTTTAATCCTAATGGGAGAAAAGACAGAATTAACATGGGCTTGCAGTCTTATTATCACTGTAATTGATAATCAATATGACTTTGAACATTAGTCTGTTCCTTGGGCCTCAGTTTTCTTACTTGATAAATGATGGGGTTGAAAGTGGGACTCCTGAGACACTATCTTGTATTACAAGCCCATATTCATTCTGTCTTTTCTCCCATTAGGATTAAAAAGTGAAAAAGAACCTTGGTCCTTGGATACTCACATAACTTTGGCATTAGAACTGTCA